AATTCCCCAATTGAGGCTCCCTCAACCCAGGTGTGTTGAGTTGACACTAAAGCTCTCCAGCACAATTGACCCCTTGTCAACTTGACACACAAACAAATCACTATTAAACCATAAGCTTTCCAAATCTTGTCCCCAAGATATGATGTAAACATTAATATTACAACATAAGACAGTACAACTTTGAAAACCGCACAGTCCTTTAAAAATCCAAACACTTAAAAGTCCATAGGCTTTTTTAAAAGTCTCAACTGTGGGTGGGCTTCTGCAAAATCCAAAACAAGTACTGTCTTATTTCAAAGGGAAGAATCGGGGACACCTAAGCAAAACCAAAGTCCAGCAAAGTAGCTCGAGGCTGGACATCTGGGATTCACTCACGATCTTCTGGGCTCCAAAGGGTTCTGGCAGCTCCACTTCTCTGACTCTGCCATCCACAGCACACTCAGCTCGTCTTGCAGACCCAGGCTGCTCCATTCCACACCTGCTGCTGTCCTTGGTGGTCATCCCACGGTCCGCATCTACGAAAAGCTGGGTCTCCACTGAAACTGAGGCTACACCTTTACCAATGGCCTCTTCTTGCCTCTCTGGGTGCAAAGCTCAGATTCTCTCCATGACCCCTTCAATCCTGGGGTCTTCACTGCAACTGAAGCTGCACTTTCACCTGTGGCCTTTCCTGGTCTCTCGGAGTGCCAAGCCTCAGCTGCTCTCTGTGACCCCTTCACACTTTCAACAACATCAGAACCATGCAGGAGACTCTTACACATTACCAAGTCCTGCTTCCAAGTTGAGATAGAGGTGCGGGTCCCTTCTGTGTGTTCACCCTGAGGAGGTACCTCCCAGAAGACTTCACAGTGATGCTGGTCTCTTGTTACTTACAGCTGATTTTTCAGCCCCAACTAACCAGCATCAATTGTCCCAGTAAAGCAAAGGTTTTACTTCAGGTTCTGGTCTCTTCTTAATCGCAGCTCATTCTTCAGCCCCAGCCAACCAGAACCCACAGATTCTCAATTCAGAATAACACACAAACAGCCCTGATAGTCTCTGCTTCCTTTTGAAGCTTCACAAGCCAGGCCTCCATTGTCTACAACTCTTTCAGCAGAACTATTCCAAGCTCCACAGCAACAAACTCTGAGCATTCAATGGCTTTTCCAGCCCAAAGTTCCAAACACTTCCACAGTCTTCCCCAAAATAACTGGATCAGGTCTGTCACAGTAGTACCCCACTTCTGGTACCAGTTTCTGTTCTAGTTTGTCTCTTCAGTGCTGTGACAAAATACTCTGACCACTACCAACTTGGGGAGGAAAGGGTTTATTCAGCTATAATCTCCCAGGTCACAGTTCATCAGGGAGCCCAAGGTAGGAACTCAGGGCAAGAATCTGGAGGCAGGAGCTGGAGCACAGGCCATGGAGAAACACTGCTTACTGACTTACTCCCCTGGCCTCTGCTCAGCCTGCTTTCTTACGTAACACAGGCCCACCTGCCGAGGGGTGGCACCACCCACAGTGGGCTGGGCCCTCCCACATCACTCAGCAATCAAGAAGATACCCCATGGACATGGCCACAGGCCAGCCCAATTAAGGCAATTCCCCAATTGAGGCTCCCTCAACCCAGGTGTATCAAGTCGACACTAAAGCTGTCCAGCACAGGGAGTGTCCCAGACTCTTCATTATCTCCCAGGTCAGGCAGCTGTCCTTAGCCAGCCCTCCTGCCTTCCTCCCCCATCCCAACCCCTTTCACCAGATGTGCATACCCTCCCTTGTGCATGCACGATTTCTCCCATTTGTTGTCTCCTTGCCCTACAGTCTCAAGGAGATCAGGACTTGGCATTACCTCATGAGCCTCTCCAGTGGACTCCCCAGCCCCCACAGCTTAGGTGGGTGTGGTAGGAAGGCTGTGACTTATGATCAGCAGTGAGTGACTGATGCTCAGGTTTCCACCTAAGCTTGCAGAGCCTAAACTGGCAGATAAGGAGTCAAAAATCTCTCAGGCAGTAGATCAGCTCCTGAAATTTCAGCCAATTCAAGCAACTAATCCTAGGTATTTGTTTTTAAGTCTTGGGTCTTCCAGCTGTACCAAAGCCCTGAAGTGTCTGGCTGCTGTTGGGAGAGTACAGTGTTCCATCAAACCAGCCTTGGTGTCCTCTATCATGAGGAAAATGCCTACTTTGAAGTATTGTGAGCAGTGGGTTTTTCGTTTTTAGACAGTGTCTTATGTAGCCCTGGCTGGTCTGGAACTCCCTACGTAGACCAGGCTGGCCTCTAACTCACAGAGATCTGCCTGCCTCTGCTTTCCCAGTACTGGGACTAAAGGCATATGCCATCACACCCAACGTTATTAGTAACCCAGCAGTGTTATTAATGCTGGCAAAATGGAATCTGGTTTAATTATAGAGTACTATACGACTACATGAATGATTAAACCTGTAAGGAGAGACAAAAGGCAGCATTATTTTAAGAGCTCTGCATAGCTTATCAGCTTGCTCTGGCCACAGCCCTGTGAGGGTAATGCTGTGAGACTAACTCAATTTTACAGAGGAAGAAACTAAAATCGGAGAAGATAAAATGCTTGGTTAGTAACTGTTGAATGCATATCCACCCTTGTACTGTCTCCCTTGCTACGCTGCCTCTTGGCCTAAAGGTTAACTTGAGACATAAGCTCTCTTGGGTTTCCTAGCAAGCATCAGAGTTTGGCAGATTCTGTATCCCTGAGATGAAGCCAGATGGAGACCAGAAGCCAGTCTGTTAGCTTTCCAGTACTGGGTACCTGGGCTGCAGTGTTCCACACCCAGCTGGGTGTGCATGCAGGCACTCACTGGTGCTTGGACATATTTCCCACAGTGTTTATTGCCTTATGTCCCTTTTGTAGTTGCCTGCATACTTGCCTTCCTGAATCTGAATCTCTGTATTGTTTTGTGTGTGTCCTGCATGTCTCAGCTACAGTGAGATGCTGGCATTCACCCTGACTGCCTTCTTAGAGCTCATGGACCATGGCATTGTCTCCTGGGACATGGTTTCAATCACCTTTATTAAGCAGGTGAGGCCTCCAGCATTCTGTCTCCTCCCTCTCTCTGCCAGTTTTCTGAGCATAGGGGAGAGGCAGGGAGTACAGCCCATGGACTCTGTCTGGCAGGGATCAGCTTTGTATTCCATGGGGCTGGATTCTTTCATCCTCAAATTGTGTTCTTCCTGGGGCTCCTGAAAGATTTATACTTTAACAGATGCTCCTCAATTTACAGTGAGTTCTGACTTGATAAACTCATCATACGTTGAAAATGCCATCAGATTGGAAAAATGAATTTACTACCCCTGGCCTGCTGACATCCTCACTTAGCAGCTCAGTACACTGTGTCTGTTATTTCCCGGGGGCGGGGGGGGGAGGGGGATGGCTGTGTTCCATCACCAGCCCTCAAGAGAGGCCATTGTCCTCACTCTCCCATTGTGAAAAGATCACAATCTAGAGTAAAGCTTCTCTTTGGAAGGTAGAGTATGGCTCAGAGCAGACTTGGCTGCCAGTAAGACTTGGAATAAGTCAGCCAGCCCTGTGCCTGTGATCTGCTTCCTGTTCTCTAAGGGTAGAAAAAAAAAAAAGTGCTTATTATTTGCAAATGTGCTTTCTTTTCACAAGTCTGCAAGGCCACCTGCTTGGGTTAGCCGATTGAACTTTGTGGAGAAGGGCACTTCTGATTCCACCCTCCTTCTTTTAGAAGGGGTGGTTTCCATTCAGAAAACTGAACTAAAACCAGTGACTAGCATTACATGCATTGACCTGGCAGTTCGCCCACTACTGGCTTGAAATACTTGAGAACTTCCCAGGAGACCTTTGGGCGCAATTGAATTGAGTATGTGTCCAGGATATTATAATGGGGATTAAGAAGAGGGATTTGGTTACAGGGCTCTCGAAATCTGATGTTCTGACTGCATAGGGAGAATGTACATGTCAGAAGAGTAGATGGAGTTTAATAAGAGCTGAGAATCAGGTCTCCTGTGCTCTACTTCCTCATGCCTGAACCCTTATTTTGAAGAGGATTAAGTTCTCACATTTTGAAGAAACACAATTGAGTAGATACTGTCACCTAAGATGGAGCTATCAATGCTGAGGGAATCCTGGCACACTGGTCAACACAGCCATAAACCAGATGTCGTGGTCCACCTGGCCACCACTGTCCGCATGGAAGCAGCATACTGAGAAGGGTTTCCTTGACTCTGAGCTTCCCATTTAGTGTGCCCACTCTGGGTCTAGATTACAGGGCACATGAGCTTCCCACTCTGCCTGTTCTGGGTCTAGATTGCAGGGTACGTGAGCCAGCCTATGGTGGATGTGTCCATCCTTCAGCGGTCCTTGGCCATCCTGGAGAGCATGGTGTTGAACAGCCAGAGCCTATACCAGAAGATAGCAGAGGAGATCACTGTGGGACAGCTCATCTCCCACCTGCAGGTGTGAGTAAGCGGCCCCTTCCTTGCCTCACCTCGTCTGTCTGTCCTCTGCTGTGTGACAGGTCTGTCTGGCTCTGGGTGTGCCCCCAGAACCTCCTCCACGTCTGTGGGAATTCCTTCTGTAGTTTAGGCCCTGTCAGGTTCTGCTCCTGCTAAAGTTCTCTCTTGTCCCCTTAGGCCTACTTGGAGGGAGATCTCCATCTGCTTGTAGCCTCTGGCTGCCAGAGAAGGCAAGACTCCCTCTTCTAGACTTGCTTATACCTAATATAATGATGGTTATATATAAAGTACTGTGTTATCATCTGCTGCACATTTGAACTCTCAGCTCCCTGGGAACAAGGACCCACCATTTTGAATCCTGTGAACACCTACTAAGCCAGCAGTGTAGTGACAACGCAAGCAATGTGGGATAGGTGTGAGTTCAGGATGACAGCTCAATCCAGGACCTCTAGGGCATGCAGGCTGGGCCTCCCAAGTACCTACTCACAAGTCTTCTGGCCTTGATTTCCTTGGCTCTAGATAGTGAGTCATCCCATCTCCCAGCCTGTGAGGATCAAAGGAGATATAAAAACTAACGTGACACCAACCAGCCCAGGTTACCTAACGTAATGGGGTTTTACTTGGGTTTGTTTTTCAGCAAGCTGATCAGCTCCGGATATGTTTTCTCAGCATGGCATAAAGCCAGACGGACCTTTTGAAGTGCTGGTCCCCTCCCCCTGCTTTTGTCTTCAGTTGGAACCAGTCTACAGGGTTGAGGCCTGCACTTCCCAAAATAAGGGTGGTGGCACTTTGTTTTCTGCCTCTTGCTCCTTCCAACTATTGGACTTGGTTGGAATGGGGCCAGATTCCTTAGGGGGTTTGAGGACACAGGGCTTCCAGTAGCTCAGTCTTCACTTGGCTGTGCTGCTAGCCTTTTTTCTTCGTTAATCTAAGTAAAAAGAGAGCAAGCACCAGGATTTTTTTGTGCTCTGATTTCTTGGATTTTTTTTTTAATTTTCTTTTTTTTTGGTTTGGAGACATGGTCTCACAGGGTAGCTCTAGTTGGCCCGGAACTCACTATGTAGACCAGGCTGACCTCAAACTCATAGAAATTTGCCTGCATCTGCCTCCTGAATACTGGATTAAAGGTGTGCACCACTACACCCCACTGCTCTCTGATTTCATGTTATCACTTTTTTGGAGGTAAAATGGGGCAGGCCTTTGGAGACAGGGCCTCATAGAGCCCAGGCTAGTCTCAAACTTCTGATCCTCTTTCCTCTGCCTCCCACATTCTGTGATTACAGACGTGCACTGCCATGCCTGGCTTCTCCTAGTCACTTTTAAACAGTTAGGCCTGGCTTTCATACCTGAGGAGCCAGCAGGGTTGGTTAGGCTAAGAGGGGCATCAGGAAGTTCTCGTATCCTGGCAGCTGTACACACACTTCACTTCCATCATCTTTGAATTGCCTCCTTGAGGACAATAGAAGAATGTAGTGTCTCTTAGGATTCAGTCTTATGTACTTTAGTGCACACTATTACCAGCATATGTGTGTTCAGCAAGGGACCCGCTTCATTAGAAAGCTGTGGGCCCTCGGGAAGGAGCCCACAGGAGGCACAAGGCAGGTGGAAGGAATATAAGATTCTGGAGAATTCTTGTATAGTTGTTTGGTTTGTTTAAAAGTAAATTTAGAGTCAACTTTGAAGACAAGGAAAACCACAAATAGTGTCTTATTTACTCGTTGTCTCACCTCCAGACACAACCATTGTTCAATATGCAGTCAGACGTCCTGTAGATTTCTCCTTCGCATATTGTTAACAAAATTTAGATCTTAGTATACTATGTGTACCTTCGGTTTTGTCTTATTTTCCTTACTGCATAATAAATATTCTTGACCATTCTCCCACTTTTGGGGATCTTCTTAAAAGGATAGTTCTAAACTTTTTTTGGAAATCAGTAGCAACTCTTGAGTTGTCTCTTTGGAAAAACTAACACACAGTCAGATACGTAGAATAATTTCTGTACCATTTCTGAGATTCATAAATATTCTAAGTTCATCCAAGTCCCAGATTAATTATCTTGACCCCTCCAAACATGATTTTTAGGAGGTACTTGGGATTCTCACAAGATAAACAACTCCTAATGAGAGACTTGGGTTACTTAACATTCCTGTGTTTTTGATAGTACTCTGATGTAACAGCTTGTCAATAAAGCATTCATAGCTTCCTGATTACTTTCTTGGATAAACTCCTCTTGTGGAATGGCTGGATCAGGCATACAGCTGCTCTTAATGCTTTTCTGACTTAGCTATGGGTTGTTACTTGATCACAGTCTGTTTTAAGCTGTCTGAGCATGATCGTCTTGCTGCTCAGTCCTCTGATCACCCCTGCCTCCATCTCTATTGACACAGCTCCAACCAGGAAATCCAGACCTACGCCATTGCTCTGATTAACGCGCTGTTCCTGAAGGCCCCTGAAGACAAGCGACAGGTCTGTGGCTGCCTTTCCTGTCTTTCTCTTCTAAGAGAGTTCTCACCATGCGTGTGCTGCTGGGCAGAACACAGAAATCCAGCTGTGCTTCCAAGAATTCCTCTCTTGTGGCCCAAGTCCAACAGGGTGATTGCTAAGGAAGTCCTAGGAAAGAGCTGGAAAGGGAGACTAGCTGGTTTCTGGAGCTGAGCAGAGTTCTGAAGGCTTCTCCTCTGAAGGGCCAGAAAGTAAATATTATGGCAGCCCTTCTTCAGCTGTTAGAGCCCAGAGCAGCTTCAGACAAGAGGCACACAAATGGTACTATCTTCTAGCAATTTATACAAACAGACAACAAGCCTAATATGCCTATAGTTTGCTAACTCTTGGGTTAGCAGACCAAGAAGAGGGAAGAAGAGACTCTGGTTGTTACTGTTGAAGTCAAGGGGTCTGGAAGAAATGAGACCTAGACCTCAGGCGTGGAGATCTCTGATGCAAATCCCCAAACTCCTTGCTCTGTCACAAGCTGTGTGCTGCTCTGCAAACATGTCCTGCTCTTCCTCTTTCAACTTGAGTTCCTCACCTGTAATACGAGAATGGCAGCACTTGCCTTGGTCACTCAGCAATCTTATGAGGACACACTAGACCCTATTTTATGGGGAGGAACCTGAGATCATCAGCTATGGAGCAGGTGCTGACCTGAGTGGAAAGCCGGTCCAGAGTGCTTGTCCTGCTTCAGGCTGGGCAAGTGTGTCACCCTCTCAAGTCCACGTTCTCCATCTGTAAAATTGAAGGGACCAAATTAAATGAACTCTAAGGGCCCTTCCGGCGCTGACATTCTAGATCTCTCCGGTAAAAGCCCATAGAATGAGGCTTTCTAATTCTCTATCAGTATCATGGGCCCACTAAAATGAAAGATGGGGCCATGGACCAGGCTCCTGGGAGCTCCTTTACTAGGGGGATGCCCAGAAGCATCTGTGGTCTGTCTGTCCTGTCTGTCTGGATGGCATGGCTCTGTGACTGTCTTCCTTCTGGTCTGTGTTTAAGCTATAAGCTCATTCTGTCTGCTTCTCTCTGTGCTTTTTGCTTTCTGCCGGCAGGACAAGCACCTTAATCCTCTAGACCTGCCCGTCACTGTAAGTAGCACTGCTATGTGGGAAGGGCCCATCTCTCTTCCTGGTGGGACAGTCAAAGCTGGGTAGGAAGTACATGGGCTGGTCTAGCTGCTCAGGGAACCAAGACCCAGGAAAGGTGATGTGCTGTCCATCTTGCTGTTGAAATGGAAGCACTAAGGGACGCCTGCCCAGGGAGGATGGCTTGGCCTTCTCTTTAGGCTTTCTCTTGTGCCTTGCCTTAGCAAGTCTGTGATTTGGCTTAGGAATCAGGTGCAGAAACAGCCTGATTTTCATCCACATGATCCTGAGGATATATCATCTCCCTGCTTGCTAAAGACAAGGAATGAGGATAAATTCAGGCCCTTTGACTATTCTCAATAAATTTTGAAAAGACATAGACAGTTAAAAGGGGAGTTTGGGTGTCCATTCTTGTTTAGAGAGAACTTTGGAGAAGCCAGCCATGCAGGGACATGGAAGATGCTTCCCCCACCCCAGCACCAAGGAGAAACTTCCTGTTCTAGCTCTAGTCACTGGTGGTATCCTCTGTGAGCTGCCTACAGCTGACAGCCAAAAACCTGTAGCTACCAAAGAGGTTTCCAGGCTACCCTCCTCTGCCTGCCAGTGTGTGCTCAGGGACTGCAAATGAAACTTAATGCTCCTGATGGTTCCAGCCATTTGGAACATGACTAGTAGTTTAGAAGTGAGACAGACCTTTCAATGAGGAAAGGGACAGAACTCACAGGTTCCACTTTGCAAGAGAGTGGGACAGCTCCCTCAGGCCCACTGATTTACAGCTAGCCATAAAGTTAACCAAGGCAGCCCTTTAGGAAGGGAAGTTTCTCTAATGAACATCAGAAGGAAGTGACAGCTGACATTAGAAGGAGAAGACCAAAGAATTGTGAAAAGCTGTCAGAAAAATTAAAAGTGTCATAATCTAAGATCTGGGACCATTTTGTTTAGGTGAAAGTAGCTTCTTAGTAGCTCTGCAGGGTGACAGTGTCACAGCAGAGTGATCCCTGATAGGCTTTTGATGAAGCTATGTCCTGGGCAATGGTTGAATGATCATCGTCGTAGTCTCCAGAAAGAAAGGGTGTGTGCATTTTTATAGATAGTCAAAATAATGGTGCTGCTGGAACCCTTAAAAAGTTTCTCTGGGCGCTGGAGAGATGGTTCAGTGGTTAAGAGCACTGGTTACTCTTGCAGAGGACCTGGGTTCAGTTCCCAACACCCACGTGACAGCTAGCAACCATTCTTAACTCTGGTTCCAGGAATCTGACACTGCCTTCTGGCCTCCTTGGGGATTGAGCTCATGTGATAAACTTAAATATATGAAGGCAGTACATTCATACACATAAAAATGAATCTTAAAAAAGTCTCTCTGGAAGACTTGTTTGTGTAGAGTACTTTGTTTCCTAGGTACTAAATATGATGAAAAAAAAAGATGAACCTGTTAGGAAAAATTACTCTAAGGCACCCAACACAGTGCTCTTTAAACCAGTCCAGAATGAGTCAGGCATCCGTGGGATGCAGGGCCAGCACCCTGTCATTGATGTGGAGTCTGTACTGCTCAGAGTTCTTTCAGTTGTGGTCGTGGCCGTGCATCTGCCTAGCATGATGCATGTGCTGCTGTGTGTTCATGTGCAGTGTCCATTGCCCAGCATCTTTGTAGCACCCATGTCCTGTCCTCAAGCAGCCTGAGTTCCTCTGTAAAGACCATCCAGTTTATTGTGCCCTTAGGAAAGAAAACTATTTGCATTCATGAAAGTGGGAGAGTCTGGAGAGACAGCACAGCAGGGTAGACCCCTGCTGCTCTGCAGAGGACCTGGGTTCAGTTCCCGGCACCCACAGAGCACCTAACAACTGTCTGTAACTCCAGTTCCAGGTGATCTGATGCCCTCTTCTGGCCTCCAAGGGCATCACCCACATATATACATACATATATACATACATACATACAGATTAAACGCTCATGCACATAAATTTTTTTTATTTTCTTTTCATTTGAAAGGAATAAATTTAAAGAAGGAGAAAAAGCCCTGAGCTGTGGCATCATGTGTTACGTTCATCTCGCTACTTCCTGCATTTGCTGATTTGTTTGCTCGTTTTTCTCCGCAGGACATGGCCAACGCCTTTGCACAGAAGCACCTTCGGTCCATAATCCTGAATGTGAGTTCTGAGTGTGCCCTGGCTTTGTTGGCAGCTTTGTCCCTGTTGGTTGCAGTCATTACTATTACAGTGAGAGACTGTCACTATTGAAATTGAGTGGGGAGGAGTATCTGCAATGACAGACACACAGGCTGGACATTCAGACTGACTAGCAGTGCCGCTGGAGTGACAGTGGCACTAAGGACTCTGTGGCTGCATGCAGGGTGAGGCAGACAGTGATTCTGTGATGAGTCCTGAGCAGGCCCCATGGCCAGGTCAGGCAGGTCTTGGTTGTATTCAGCAGCCAGGCCAGGCAGGTTTAGGGTGGTGGTAGAGGCAGGGTTGCGGTTTTTCAAAGACCCTGCTGTCAGAGCTCAATGCTTCCTGGGGTCGGGCAGGGAACTGGAAAGAAGTTTGCATGCCTGTTAAAATTAAAAGGAAGGATCCCAGTTAAAAGGAAGCAGTTTCATTAGTTGTCAAAAACAAAAGAAAACCTAGAAACCTCAGGAGTCAAGTGTGAAAGATAATGCTGCCCTCCTGATGGGCTTTGCAGCTGGCCAGCCCCTCGGGGCATTTTCCAGTCTGCTTTGATCTTGAGCAGTTGGGGGGTGGAGGGGGGCAACACTGGGCTTTTTTGATTTTCAGGTCTGAGACCTGAATGAACTAATACATAGATTGCGCTTGGCAGGGTGCCTGGCACCTGGGAAGCCTCTCTGTGGGCAGAACCCCGGGTGAAAGTAAGATGACAGAGCTCCAGAAGTGAGCTCTGAGCAAACCTGAAGTCCCCATCATGACTGGGTTCTCAGGCTTCTGCACCCCCTGCTCCCTTTTAGCAAATGTTGGAATGTTGCCCTCTGGTGGTTAGGAGGGCATAAGGTACTAGGCATTGCTAGGGGAACTCCAGAGGAGCTGCCAGGAACCCTTCTGGGTGTGGGCATGGGGAAGCCCTTCTGGGGGAAATTTAACTATGTAACTATATTTGAGACTTCTCTTAGTGGACGAGAGCAGGATCCCACAGAACAGACAAGATTGAGCATCAAGGACTTAACTGATCTGCCAGACAGTGGCTAAGTGTGCTCTCTGAGTTAAGCCAGAGAGCCCCAGCCATTGCTAGAGCACTTAACTCTCCTACCATCTGAGAAAGCCAGTAAACTGAGTGAAAACCTAGAGCACATGAACGCTTACCTTTCTTCATAGTAGTCTTGTGAATGATGGACAGATGTGAGGAGGAAGGACTAGAAAGGGGCACTAGGAGCAGTCGGGAGAGAGGGAGTGGCTGAGGATTTGGGGCAAGTGAAAAGGATGTAGAAGGGATACGAAGTAGACTGGAGCCTCGGAGAGCAGAGGTATGAGCGTGGGGAGTTGAGAGGGTACCTGCGCCTCAGCTAGCAAGAGACATGCTGGAGTGAGGAAAGGGTACGCGTGTGCTGGGCAGGACGTCCGTGATTCCCTCAGATTGTCTTCCCGGCGCAGCTCTGGCTCCCACACACCTCTGCTCCAAAGAGGGTACTACTTGAGCACTTGATATGACTGGGGACCTGAATGGGTGACTTTGATTTCAGTTAGGTTTGCCATTTGTGTCTTGTGGCAGCTGCACAGGGCAGCGCAGATGTGGAGGAAACAGAGCTGGTGGTTCTGCAGCTGAGGACGAGGTCTAGAATAGCCCTGGCTATGGAAGTGCAACTCACCTGGGGTGGAATTTTAGCTGTTAAAGGCATTGGAAAAATTAAGCTTAATGTACAGTTTATTTAACCTGAGATACATAAAACATCTCAATATGCAGTGAATATATTAATAAAGCCTCATCAATGATGTACACCACACTTTCTCTTTTCACATTAAGTCTTCGAGGTTGGTATGCTGCTGATACCGTACCCCTCAGTTTGGACCTGGCAAGTTCACCAGCCATGTGAGCCTCTGGCCACCATGGCATAGGTCCCAAAGGATTGGTCTAGAGTCAAAGCAAGCTCGAGAGAGAGATGGAGTTAGGGGGAGCTTTGCAGAGCTGTTTGTGCAGGGAAGACCTGCACAGGACATCTCCATGGCATTGCCCGTGCTCCACGCTGCCCTGTATGGCAGCCACGGGGGCAGTCAGTCATTTAGCGTGTCATTGCTGTGACTGAGGGCCACAACCTTAACTGCAGTTGTTTTCACTGATTTAACACAAATAACTAGAAATGGCTACCGCACTGACTGCAACACAGTTCTAGAATGAAGGTCATCAAGTAAGGACCAGAAGGACTCAAAGGTAGAACATATGTGAAGCTGGGCAAGAAAGAGCCCAGAGTGACACTTCAGGAAGGGGGAGGTGTTGAGAAGTCCAGGGAGCAAGCAAGAAAGAGCAGGGTGGCGTGGGATTGAGAGACAGGATCACACACCCAAGAGCCTCATTCAGGACGGGGAGGGCACAGTGTGCAAGAGAGGCCCATGACAGGCTGAGAGGAGGGCGATGATGAATGGACAGTGGGAGGACAGAGAAAATGAAGAGGATGATTGGGGAGGGGTGGAGAGTTTGAGGTGTAGGACCTATGTGGGGTGATAGGAGATGGACAGGTGTAGGAGAGAGGAATGTGAGGGTGTGTGAAGCTGGGCAGGAGAGCTAAATGGTCTTCGTAACAGGTGGCTCAGTGTCATTTAGAGGAAGTGACCCTTTTTACAGCCTGTTTGCCAGTGGTTCTGTCCCATGCACTCTGTTGTCCTGGTTTAGTAGCCTCATGAGGTGCCAGCCTGGAGTGTGTCAGGTGCTGGTGCCCTGTCCTCACCTTGTGAGGTGCCTCCCCATCTCTGGTGTAGTAGAGGTCGGGTCCACCCTCCATTCCACCTCCCCTACCCAGGAGAGTGCAGAGGAAGGGATAGCACTCTTGGGGTGCAATGAATCAGCTCTGCCTGCATGGAGCCTGCTGGTGCTCTGCCCCTTCTAGAACATGAAGTCCCCATATGGGGGAGGAAGTGTTCCCTGCCAGATGCATTTATTTCCCTCCCAACATGGATGTGGTTCTTCAGGAAAAGAGCCAATACATTGAGGCCCTGTTTCCTGCCTTTGCTTTTTCTAGCATGTGATCCGAGGGAACCGCCCAGTCAAAACAGAGATGGCCCATCAGCTGTATGTCCTTCAAGTTCTGACCTTTAACCTTTTGGAAGAAAGAATGATGACCAAGATGGACCCTAATGACCAGGCAGGTGCTGGGGGGCCTTCTTGGCGTAAGTCGCATGCTGTTTCCTCATAGCTGTGGTACATTCTGCCCTCCAAGCATGTTGGGCATGTTGCGTGGATGGGTTTGTGTCTACGCTGGCACAGCTAGTGTGGGCCACACCTCCTGAACATTTGGGTTAAGTCCCCTTCTGTCCTGTTGTGCTAGTGCTGGTACTTCCTAAGAGACTGATGGGACCGGTCTGGCTCAGGTGCACACCTTGCAGTTTCTCTTCCTTGCTTCCGTTGGGTAGCTGAATCACCTGCACACTATGTGTTACACCTCCCAGGCGCAAAGAGACATTATATTTGAACTGAGGAGGATTGCATTTGATGCGGAGTCCGACCCTAGCAGTGTCCCTGGGAGTGGGACTGAAAAGCGCAAGGCCATGTACACGAAGGACTATAAAATGCTCGGATTTACAGTGAGTGCCCAGAGCGCCTCCCCCAAGACAAGAAGCCAGCTCTGGCAACTGCCCCTTCATAGTGGTAGCTCTGGAGTAGTGGACAGGAACAGGTGAGGGGCTGTGTGCTTGGCCTGCCTTTCAGTGGCCAGTCAGTGAGTGTGCATCTTCTGAAGACACAGACCAGATCCATCAGTAGAGGCCTGGGATGCCGGCCCCAGCAGGGGGAGGGGGCCCTTCCTCACCAACACAGCCAGATTCATTACAAAGCCAGAGTGGCTGAACTGAGAGTGGGATGGTTTAAGTGTTTCCTGTGCACCTTCTCAGTGCTTGGCAGTATACTGGCTGTAGGGATGCATGATGAGGCAGCCTCTGGTGCTCTAGCAGCTCAGGTTAGTTTAGAGTCAGGCGTGTAACAAGAGCTGGGGTGGAGTGGAATCCAGATGTTGGCAGCACAGAGAGGAGGGAGGACAGGAGGACATCCCCAGATCATTGCACATGTGAAGACTCTTTGGTTCAGATCTGGTATCTTGATTTCCCCAGAACCATATCAACCCGGCATTGGACTTCACCCAGACTCCTCCTGGAATGCTGGCTTTGGACAACATGCTGTACTTGGCTAAAGTCCACCAAGATACCTACATCCGGGTAAAGGGGGGCTTTCATTCCTGGTGCCCATCCATGTCTTCCCTCCCCCTAACCTTCCCCTTCCGCTCTGCACACAGATCGTCCTGGAGAACAGCAGTCGTGAGGACAAGCATGAATGCCCCTTTGGCCGCAGCGCCATCGAGCTCACCAAGATGCTCTGTGAGATCCTGCAGGTTGGGGAACTCCGTAAGTCTGTGTCCCCTCTCTCCCTCCTCAGTCAGTCTTCTCTTGAGGAACCTAGTGGAGCTGGAGCTTGTGAACTACTAGATGTCAGTGGGACTGGATAACCAGGTTTGGGTGTGTGAGGGAAGTGGGGAGTTTTGCTTCATGAGCCAATAATCCATTTGATCTTGGTTTTTGGTCATCTTAAGTATTGCTTTGCCTGAGCTGGCTCCCCAATACTGTGTCAGAACTCGCTGAGTTTGTGACAGGGTAGTAGAAGACCAAAAAAAAAGCCACTTGGAGAATCTGTGGTCTGTTTTCTTTGGGACAGTGCGGAGAATCCTGTTTCTGGTTGGGTGCTCCTGGGACCCTGTGGGCAGAGCTTTTATCCTTTCTTTTCCTTCCTCTCAGCAAATGAAGGACGCAACGACTACCACCCGATGTTCTTTACCCATGACCGAGCCTTTGAAGAGCTCTTTGGAATCTGCATCCAGCTGCTAAACAAGACCTGGAAGGAGATGAGAGCAACGGCAGAGGACTTCAACAAGGTCAGTGCCCCAGAGCTGCTGTGACACCGGTGGAAGGAGACCATCACGCGACAGCCCTTGGCAGCCTGTCAGCGCCTAGGGAATCCCTGAGCTGGACCGCCAGCTTGGTCAGCAGTGCTGAGTCACAAGGCTGAGGTCTCAGTCAGTGACTTCCTTTGTAACCTTCAGCAGGTGTCTTTCTCATGGTGCCCAAGACCTTGGTTTCCTGGCGAAGCTAACATCTGTCCCTGTCCTCCACAGGGATCAGGAAAACAAGCCTAGTTGTGTCATTACTGTTGGAGTTCTGTGAAGGGCTGCATTGGCCAAGCAGGATACCGTGGTGCCTGTCAGGCCTCAGTGCTTTTTGAGTGCCCCCCCCATGTAGAGCACTATGCTAGGCCCCCCATGCAGACAGTCCAGGAGCCAAGTGTTCTGAAGTTTACCATCTCGTTGTGAACACTTTGGAAGAGAGCCAAGCAGAGTGGTGCATGCCTCTGAGGCTGGAGAATCATGAGTTTTAGGTCAGCCTGTGCTACATGCTGAGGCCCTGTCTCAAGAAAATGAAGCAAAACAACAAAAACTTGGGAGACTATAGCAAAAGGGTTACCTATAATTCTACCACCCAGAGAGTGTTCTGTGATCGTTAGTCTCCTTCTAGGATTATGCCACCCATGCAATTCTTGGGGATAGAGTGGTGTTGCTTTCTTTTCTAACAAACCTGGCACTTTGTATCACATGGTGTGCTTGCCTTCCAACACCTGCAGGAAGATGTCTCCTTACTTTAGCGATGAGAGGTGGTGGCCTGAGCATGCTCATTGCCTTGCTGAAAGAACAGGTTAAGGATTTAGTGGTACAAGGTCAAGATCGACTCCAAAGTCCTATGCTCATTTCCTAACACCACAGCTACTGAAAGGTGTGAGAAATGAAGCATCTATCACCATGTGACCTGGCACAAGTCACCAGCTGAGGTGTCCCTTGGGAAGTCAGAACTCTCATGGCCTCAGCATGTGTCTGTGGTGCCCACTCTGCTTGAAACACTAGGTCAAGGAGAGCCTTGATCTCTAGTTGGCTTGTGTGTATTTCGGTGTGATGTGTCGCCACCTTCTTTCCCCAGGTTATGCAAGTTGTCCGAGAGCAGATCACTCGAGCTTTGCCCTCCAAACCCAATTCTCTGGATCAGTTTAAGAGCAAGCTTCGCAGCCTGAGCTACTCGGAGATTCTACGGCTGCGGCAGTCTGAGCGGATGAGTCAGGATGACTTCCAGTCCCCACCAATTGTGTAAGTGCCATTCCTGGGGGCCCAAGGGGCAGCCAGCTTCCAGCTCTGCTTTGAGAGTACCTCTGTTCACGGCCCCCAGGGAACTGCGGGAGAAGATCCAGCCCGAGATCCTTGAGCTGATCAAGCAGCAACGCCTGAACCGGCTCTGTGAAGGCAGCAGCTTCCGAAAGATTGGGAATCGCCGGCGGCAAGGTGAGGGGCCAGAGTAGCATGGGGGGTGGGTTCTGCCTGGGTGACCCTGCAAGGCACTGGTGGCCACCGTGTCCTTCCTCCCCTTGCCCAGTACTACTGCTACCTCACATCCTTCCTTGCATTCCAGAACGGTTCTGGTACTGCCGCTTAGCATTGAACCACAAGGTGTTGCACTACGGTGACTTGGATGACAACCCTCAGGGGGAGGTGACCTTCGAATCCTTGCAGGAGAAAAGTAGGTGCCCGTCTACTGGCTCCCCAGACTCCTCAGACCTGAGTTCTGGTCCTGGCTGTAACCCCATGTCTGGGTTGGGCCTTTCCTGAGCCTGTCTCCTCATCTGTTAGAGATCCTCTCTTGCCGGCCTCAGCATGGTTTGGAGTCTCCCTGAGATCACGACTGTGGCTGTGTGTAGAACATGAAGGTGCGAGGAGACTGTACTGAAAGGCTGTGGTAGAGGCAGGGGCTGGCTTCGCTCCTGAGTAGTTACTGACTCCAGTTGGTGCAAGTTAGTTTTCAACTCTACCTTGTGTTCTTCTCCCGTACAATGGGAGTAACAGCCATGTTTCATGTTTCAAGGAGGATTTGGTGAGAAATGTGTACAGTGCCACGGAGCGCTGGCAGGTACAAGGTGGGCCTTGCTGTTAGAAGCTACAGTACTGTTTGCCCTGTTGTCACCTTCACCAGGGAAGGGAAGTGACAGGGGTGCCCAAGCCCCGCCCCTTAAGGCGGTAACCCAAGTAACAACCTTTGAGCTTTCACAGAGCTCACCAGATCAGGGTCCACCGTAGTTGACCAAGGAGGAGGAGGGAGGGGGCCCCATGCCCACCTCCCTGAGCAGGAATGGCCCTGGAGTCTGGGAGCTGTGGCTTCCTGGCACTCTGCACAGAGCTTCCCTTCCAGTCTTGAGGCCGGTACTGACTAGCTTGCGGCATCAGCTTCCGGGCACTCATTCCCACCATGTTTCAGTTCCTGTTGCAGATATTAAAGCTATTGTCACTGGGAAGGATTGCCCCCACATGAAAGAGAAGAGTGCTCTGAAGCAGAACAAGGTTAGTAGGGGTCTGTCCCACGGGTTCAGGATGCGCGTTTGCTCTGTCCCATACCATGTTTAGAACCGTGAACACATAAAAGTAAATAGAACCCAAATATACACCTCACCCAACCTTAGCAACCATGGCACACTCTACTATCTGCTTCTTGTGACTTTGAAAAGACCCAAGGTGGCACACCATTTCATTCATGAACATTTACTGTGTATCTAAATTATAGGACTCTTGTCACATTATCACACCCTCAAAAATAAAAAGCAGTTATCTAGTATCAAATATTCTATTTTCCTTTCAATGTCCATGTCTTAGTTTGTTCTTCATTGCTATGACAAAACACTCTTGACCACTACCAACTTGGGGAGGAAAGGGTTTATTTAGCTTACGTCTCCCAGGTTGCAGTTCATCAGGGAGCCCAAGGTAGGAACTCAGGGCAGGAACCTGGAAGCAGGAGCACAGGCCATGGAGGAATGCTGTTTACTGGCTTGCTCCCTTGGCCCCTGCTCAGCCTGCTTTCTTATGTAACACAGGCCCACCAGCCCAGATCACTCAAGAAGATGCCCTTCAGACATGGCCACAGGCCAGTCCAATAGAGGCAATTCCCCGATTGAGGCTCCCTCAACCCAGGTGTGTCAAGTTGACACTAAAGCCATCCAGCACAGTCCACCTGCTATCTTACGCCTGTCCTATGTATACACCTGTTCACATTTATAAATCAGAATCCCAGTAAGGTCTGCACACTAGAATAAGTCTCAGAGTTTTCATTCATTCATCCCCGCTCCATCTTTTTCTGTCTTTGCAGTTTATTAGTTGAAGAAACCATGCTGTTTGTTTGGTAGTTTCAGATTTTACAGATTGTCTCCCTATGGTGATTTGACTTTTCTGCTGCCCCAGGTTTGTAAATTGGCACAGGGACCTGGAGGTTTGATTTGGTTCAGGTTCAACTTTACCCTGGCAAGGCCACATCTTAGATGGTACTAGGTCCTCTCAAGAGGCTCATAGTGGCTAGGCGACTGTTGATCAGACTGTTGCTGCTCAGAGGTTAAGGTTTGCAAACTAGGAGTATTCTGTTTATTAATGAGCCGAACCACTCACTTCTCAGTACAGGAACCTGCCCTGATCATCTACGGCCTTCCCCAGGGTACAGATAATGGAAGAAAGAGGGTTAGAGGCTTGAGTCTTCTTTCATATGCTTACTTTTAAACTGAGTTTGTTCCCTCACATCAGCACAACAGTGACCGATTTCTGTGTCTGTTTTTCTGGTAATATGAGCTCATGGAGTTAAGCAAACCATGTGTGATTCTGTGTGTTGCCGTTATTTTCTAGGTGCTCAAATTGTCTCCACTTGTCTGCAGTTTTTGTTGTTGGTTTTTTTTTTTTTTTTTTTTTTAGCTCTCAGGACTTTGTCATTACAGCATGATAGAGGGAGCTAGCCACTTTGGTAATGTAGAAATACTCAGGGCAATACACAATCTTGACATTCAGGGGTTCTGAGGATTAAGAGAGAAATACTTTCTTTTTTGTTTGCTTGTTTGTTTTCTTGAGAGTGGGTCTTGTTGTATAGCAAGAAAAGGAAAAAGGAAAAGGTATCACCACATCCAAGGTGTGATCAGGGAATAGGTGAGTTCCGGTCAGTTAATGCTGGCCTCACTTCTGTCACACCTGTGTGCATGCCTTGAGACCTTGGTGACATTGTAATTGAATCACTGCTTCAACTGTCTGAAACCCTTTCTCCCTCAGGAGGTGTTGGAGTTGGCCTTTTCCATCCTGTATGACCCTGATGAGACCTTGAACTTCATCGCTCCTAATAAGTATGAGGTGAGTACTGTGCCCTCGCTCTGGCTCTGCAGTTGGAGGGTAGGAGTGGACAGCACAGCAGTGTCCCCCTGAAGGCAGGTGGCCACAGCGAGCCACCTCACTCTTTCCATCTCACTCTTCAGCAGCACCTGGCTGGTAGAAGGACAGGCAGACACAGGGAGGATTCTCCTCTTTGCAATGCCTCCATTACTCCTTCCCAGGTGAACCTGACAACCTTGCCCCCTCAGGGGCTCCAGTTATATGTAGTGGATCTATCCTGGGTTGTGGAGCCACATGGAGCTGCCTCTCCTGACAAGGGGCTCCCAGTTCACCTGCAGCCCAAGAAGATGCTGATCATTAACTCAGTTAACTAGTTGTTAACTGAAGGTCCATCACTGGGCTCTTGGGGTGGGGATTCAGGAAGAGCAAATCATGGGCCTCCCCTGAGCTGCCATTGGGCTTTTGTTGAGAGGACACGAAGAACGGGCAGGTATAGAGCCTGGTGAGCAGGGCATGGTGAGGGTGTGGAAGAAGGAAACCAGCAGCCCAGGGGCCAGCAGAGCCAGGTGAGTGTGAGGCACTCCTGTTCTCCCATCCCTTCCTGAGAGCTCCAGCTCCATTTTTGTTGTTTGTTTTGTTTTTCTGAGACAAGATCTCATGTAGCCCAGGCTTGGCTATGTAGCTAAGGCTGGTCATGAACTCTATATCCCATGTTCCACCATAATCAGCTATGTCAATTTCTTTAGTATTTAAAAAATATTTTATTATTTTTATTTTATGTGTAGGAGTGTATTATTGCCTACATGTATGCAAGTGCACCCATGTCATTGCAGTGCCCACAGAGGTCAGAAGAAGATGCCTGATCCCCTGGAACTGGAGTTATGGATGGTTGTTAGCCGCCATGTGGGTGTTGGGAATCGAACCCAGGTCTTCTGCAAGAGCAGCCAGTGCTCTTAACCACTGAGTCATCCCTCCAGCCCTATAATTTTACTTTTTTAAAAAAAACAAAATTGAGCTTCTCCATTGTTGCCATGCATTCTGCTGTCTTCACTGAGTGTTTCCTGCTTCTGTTTCTTATTCACTGCTCCAGTGCTGGTTTCCATTTTGCTGTATTCCTCTCATTTTAGATCACACTTCATATTATTTTTAGGACCTTTTACCCAAATCCCCCATGAAAACCAGACATTCTCCTGATAGAGTGACAGCTGCCTCCTGGTTGTCGCTGCTCTCATCTCCTGTGAGTTTCTCCCATTCTGAATGGTGCCAAAAGGGACTGCCATGAGTCCCATTGCAGCCCCCAGGACCACTGTGTGATGTTTTGGAACTTGTCCACAGTACTGCATCTGGATCGACGGTCTCAGTGCCCTCCTGGGGAAGGACATGTCCAGTGAGCTGACCAAGAGTGACCTGGATACACTGCTGAGCATGGAGATGAAGCTGCGGTTGTTGGACCTGGAGAACATCCAGATCCCTGAGGCGCCACCACCGGTCCCCAAGGAGCCCAGCAGCTATGACTTTGTCTATCACTATGGCTGAGCCGGGAAGGGACTCAGCCCAGGAGAGACTGGCAGTCAGTGCCTTACCCTTCACTTGTACAGAATCTACAGTGAGTGTGGTGACACTCATCAAACCCACCTGGGACCCAGAGCTTCTCTTGGTCTCTGTCCACCAGAAGTGGGAGTGGTGGAGGCAGAACACGCTGCCCTTCCCAGCAGCACAAGCCTGGGGTTGGCCTGGAGGCATGAACATGGGACATTCTTGCCTTCCATCCTGAGTCTGCTCTTGAACTGGACTTAACAGTAGCCACCCACCTTTTTCTTCCTGAGCCTGCCCTCTGGTTTGCTGAACCCCATGTGAGCTGGAGCTGGCCCAGGAAGGGCTGCCTGCGGGGACAGGTATGCTGAGTGTGGTGACAGCCTTGGAGTAACTGCCTTCAGGTGGCCCAGGCAAGGGCAGGCCCTTAGCCTTTGTTTAGTAGGTCTTTGTAAGGGCTCATTTCAGCTTCATCCTGTGCCACGATGCTGCTGCCTCTGGGGTTTGGCCCTAACATCTCTAGAGCCATCCACTCTAACGTGCAGGTAACTGGGCAGGTGGAAATCTCCCCCTCCCCAAAGCTCTCAGTCTCATCCTTGCTCTCCAGCTTGAGCCCTGCACTCTTAGGCTCAAGGAATGTTGCAGGGAGTCAGCCGAGGTCTGGGCCTAGCCTGGTCAGGTCACAAGATTCTCCCCCTCCATTTCTATCTTTCCTTCTTAAGGGAGAACTCTCCCAAGAACCTGAATTATAGCCCCCTTTGGTTTGCTTTTCTCTGGCCTTCCAGATTTTGGGAAGTTTGCCTTCCCTTCTTCTTCCTGGCGCTATGGTTTCTGCCATTGGCCATGACTTCAGGGAGCTGGCTGAGGTCATAGCTGTGCCACGGGCCTTCTCTGGTGCATGTAGCACCTGAACCACATGCACAGCCTTTCTCCTTGGACGCATGCTGATGTGGTGTTCAGTATTGGTAGCCTGGCATGGTGGGTACTACCCAGTGAAGAGTGTATTATATATTTTCTTTACTATAGGCCATACTTATACAGACGTGTATATATATTTATATAAGACTTCCTATCTTAGGATGGAATGTTAGGACAAAATAGAATGGAGGGTAAAAAAAGTATGATCCCAGCTGTGGGTCAGGAATGTAACCAGAGAGTAGCCAGGAGCTTCCTGTCAGTGACCGTGTTTTCAATAAATACTCTTTCATGTAGACTGGTTCTGTTAACAGCCATTTCTCTGCACTTGTTGTCTGCCCAAGGGTGGAAAGTCACCCAGCAGCCTTCATTTCAATGTGCCTGGGAGCCCTGGAGAGCTCAGCTGGAGGCCCTAGCCACCTCCCAGGAGCCCTTGCTCTCCAAGCCCCTTCTACCCTACCATCAGGCACAGACTGCTCACACCTGCTGGCAAAGGTTGCTCACAGATTGTAGTACCAGGACAAAGTGTTTCCTGCTTGGCGCTGCTGGGCACAACATGGAAAGGCATACTGTACACCCCCACGAACACATCCTCCCTCTTCTCCTTGCCAGGGACACAGCCAGGGAACAGCTCGAGCACTTGTGCCTTACAAAGAAGACACGTTCCACACCCTGTGTGTTGCCTATATTTAGTGCCCAGCCTTCCAGCTGGTGTTTTAAGCTGTTGCTCCCATTAGCAGCCTTGGTAGCTGGGCCACTTGAATGAGGGCAATGATGAAATTAGATACTTTCTCCTGTCACTGTTAGGAGGAGGCGAGGACAGGCTCTTATAGAAGGCATAGAAAGTGCATGCAACGCAGGCCTTGAGGGCTGAATGAAGCCAAGACCTCGGGCTGTGTTGGGCACCATTGTAGGCTTAGGGAAGCAGTGAATGAACGAATGCCTGTGTGATGCCAGCTGGCAGCTGCTAGAGTAGCAGCATGCATAAAACACAGCTTACACTCTGGCCTTGAGCCTTCTGTTAGGAGCCAGGAGCCCAGCCCAATCACGTGCAAGGACCCGTTTGCAGCCCGTCCTAGTGCAGTCCAGGAGGGCAAAAAGCAGAACTGGGTCTGCAGCCCTAAGTTGCACAGCTTAACAGTTTTCCCTGCCAACAGGCGCTGCACCTTTTCATCCATCCTATGAGATTAATGCAATCTGGGTGTGCTAGACGCGTTCTGTGGCCACTGCAAACGCCCCTAACGGGTTCCAGCACGACTGGACCCTACCCTCTTCATTCTCTCCTGTTCAACCGATTAAGTAATTCTTACAAATTTTCTTATATATAGGAAAATTTCAAAAATGTCCATTACTTCGCCTGAATGTTCTAAGTCCTAAAATTTAATGTGCCTGACGTCGTTTTCCAGCTGGGCTCCCAGAAGAAAAGGCCCCCGTCTTTTGATCGCCCAGCACTGTCAATCAACCACCTCTATAGAAAGCGGGCAGGGGGCTCCGGGCTTGACGGCTGCTGTGGGCAGGACCCTCGAGCGAGCCCTGGGGCTACGGCCCAAGTTGCACACTGCCAGAAGGATGTCGGGGGGCGGGGGGGGGGTGCCACAGTACTGGCACTTGGGCTCCGCCCACCCTCGCCAGCTTCCGGCGGAAGTCGTCAGTCCCTGTGGTGCTGGGGCGGTGTCTGGCTCGCACTTCCGGCGGGAGGATCCGGACCGCTGCGCCGCGGGAGGAGGTGAGTGTGCGCTCGCGGTGGGCGGCGACGCGGATGGCGTCCCCATGTGGAGGGCTCGTCCGTGCTCCCGCCCGCCCGGGCCTCAGTTTCCCCATCCCTCCTGCGGAGCCCGTGCGCATTTGCCGACCACCCGCGAGGGACCCGTCCCCCGGGAACCAGATGGTCGCAGCGGAGCGGGTGGGGTGGCGCGGCGGGGACACGTGTGCAAACACCGAGAGGTCGCGTGGTGGGAAGTGCCACGTGCAGTGGGGACCCCGGGGAAGGGAGTGGATGCGGAAAACAACTAGGTTGGATGTGTCGGGTCCAGGGGGTCCTTGTGGACCAGGAGTGGGGACCAGCCCTGAGAGGGAGAGGTCTCCAGTCTGCAGAAGCCTCTGTTCTAGTTTTCTTTTCCTGCTGCTGCGGTAAAATACTCCAATTAGCAACTCAAGGAGGGAAGCCTTTATTTTGGTTCAAGGTGGGGAAGTCAAGGCAGCAGCTTGTCACATCACATCCACAGTCAGAAGACTGGGGGGAATAAACGCGTCCTAGTGCTCCATTCTGTCCAGTCCAGGATCCCCTCCCACAGCTAAGATGGGTCTTCTCACATCCTTTAACCTAAAAGATAACCCCTTACAGGCATGCGCACGCCCAGGTGATTCCAGATTCTGTCCAGTTGACAGCTAACACGAACCATCACACCACTGGCTTCCTGGACCACAGGCTGTAGGGGCAAAAAAGGGGAAAGGGGGCCCGCTGGGAGGTAAGTGCAGGCAGTAGGTGAAAGGTGACGGTGGTGGAAGGAGAGACAGAGAAGAGAGTGGGTCAAGAAGTAGTTGGAAGTGGACTTGGCTGGCAGGATGTGAGGAATTCAATAGGTAAAGATGACTTCAGCCTTGGGCTGGGTAGCCAGGTGTCAGGCTGGCTATTTCTACTTGACTTTGGCATGGGATAGAGGCCTGAGGAATAATTAAGATAGCTCCTTGGGGCGTCTTGTTGAGTGAAGCTAGCTAAAGGGCCATTAGATAGTCTGTGCACTCACAGGAAAGGTTCAGCAGCCAGTTGGTAGGGTGCGATAACCTAGGGTGAGAATGTAGGCAGAAGAGAGAAACCAGTTTGAACTCTTGGGGACCAGTTTTTACTAGTTGAGTCAGAGAGGAGGCACTGGCCAAAAGTTGCCCAGAAAGCAGAAGAAAACCCAGGAGAGTGGTGGGTACATTCAGGGGCTTTCTCTAGGAGGAAGTGGTCAGTTGTGTAAGATGAGCAGAGACTTGGCCTTTCAAGAGGTGACAGGGAGGAGGGGTGGTGACTCAGTTCAATGGCCTGACAGGCTGAAGTGAGGCTAGTGAAAGAGTGGGCCTAATGTTACGAAATTTTGCTGTAGGAGAAGGGAGAGTGACTCCTACATGAACCAATGTCAAGTGCTGGGCCTCCTGCCCAAGAGGCACATGCTTTTGTCTCCCTTTATAGTTGGAGAAACCGAGTTCATGGGTCAAGTCACCTAGAGTTACAGTAGGTAGGTGCTGTGGAGATGCTCACAGGTCTCTGATTTCAAAGCTACACAGCCTGTGCTAAGCTGAGGGGATGGAGGGTAAGTGCTACAGCAGTACACACACACACACACACACAGCGCCTACCCACTACCCTCCCACCCCCCGTGCCCAGGACTGAATTCCTTGGTCAAGTGTGATTTGAAGATTTGAATCTGGTCTCTCTTATTGTGGCATTAGAGTGGAGACCTTAATGGTTTCATGTCTGAGCCTCTAGTGCATGAGGTCACATGGTTTAAGAGGTCTCAAAAGCTCTGTTGGATGTAGGTATCCCTGTGTGTGTCATCGCTCCCGCCCCCAGGAACCTGCAGAGAGTAGCTGGAGTCCTTAGGGCAGATGCTGCAGGCGTGGAGGGTGGAGGGTGACCATAGTATGGGAATTTTTGAAGCTAGAGACTGACCATTCTTGACTGAGGAGACCGGGGGGGGGGGGGCCAGGGGGGGGCAAAAGCACAGCCCGCACAAGACACCAGTGGGGGGCTTTGGGGGAGGGGCAGGGTCCCCGGGGGGGGGGGGGCCAGGGGGGGGCAAAAGCACAGCCCGCACAAGACACCAGTGGGGGGCTTTGGGGGAGGGGCAGGGTCCCCGGGGGGGGGGGGGCCAGTGGAGGCTAAGAGCACAGCCTGCACAGTACACCAGTGCGGTGCTTGGAGGAAGGAGCAGGTTCCCTGGAGTGGAGTGTGGGCCCCCTGGGTCAATGGGGTCAGTGTTGGACCCTGTGGGTGTGAGATGCCCAAGTCTAGTGACTTGGGAGCTGGCTATGTACTGTGGAAATGCCAGCCTTCAGAAGGCCTGTCAAGACACGGGCTGTGTTAGGCCAGGTAGGACAGTAGGTCTCCCCATGATCCTACCATGCCTTTTTATTGCAGATGTTTGATAACAGCCCTGTTTATTGACCTGAAACGAAACTCAAGATTAGTTAAAAAACTACCTACACATCATTTTTAAAAATCAGTGGTGTCCTAACTACAAAGGAAATTGACAATGGAATAAAATGTCTGTTTGCCAGTTCCGGGCACAGTATGCTAGTCAGGGTAAGTTTCCCTTGCCGAAGAACACACGGGAATAAGCCCAGCACAAGTGTAGGCTCAGCCACAGTGTTGACTGCTCTGGAGCCTGGAGCGCCCCTGCTGTCAGTGAAGTAGGTTTTCAAGAATGGAAGCTCTGGGTTTCACTTTGACAATGCATGAAAGTCTTCTTGGCCATTTTAGTGCTTGGTAGAACCCTGAGAACTGTGGACAGTAATAAGCTGATCTTCTGCTTTCATGAACATCAATGGGGAGCAGAATGAAGACCAGTTCTTAGTTCTGTGGGACCTCCCCTTCATGGGCTCTGCTCAGTTGATGCCAGGATCCTCCCTCAGGTCACCACCCCAGGATCCCAGGCTCCTCTGTAGAAAGCCATAGTCCAGGAGTCCTTTGGGCAAAGCGTGAGCCAATTCCCAGTTTGGAGGAGGGGAAGTGATAACAGGTTCCAGGGTGCAAACTGGTACAGGAGTGGTGTGATTCAGGGGAGGTTCTCAGGGGAGGTGGCTTTTCTGTGTGCTGGGGAACCCATGGGGGAAGGAAGCAGGTGTGCTAACACTGAGCCAAGGCTCAGCTTATCAAGCAGAGCAGGTCCTTGGTGTTCTTGCCCTGAGCCAGCTTGCCTTGGGCACTCACCAGGGGTGCTAGGCTGACGCAGCAGGTAGTGGTTTAGTTTGGCAGGAACCTGAGTCAGTTACCTCCTGTATAGGAGGAGCTGCCAGGGCAGTGTAGGCCTGGGCCAGCTTTAGCTCTAAAAACCAGATCAATCCCCTGAAATCCCATATACATTCCTGTCACTGAGTCATCAGAATACAGGGAGGATATAGAGAATGCCAGGTATGTGTGAGATGGTATGGACACTGTCCCTTTCCAAGTGAGCTCAACCTTGCGAGGGACAACAGTGTTACCAAAAGGCTGGGGATGTAGCTTAGTGGTAGCACACCCCTAGCACAAGGTCCTGAGTTCCAGCCACAGTAGTAAAAGGAAAAAAAGATACTGCTCACCCCTCTCAATTGCTATAAAAGAATAGGGGTTGTGGTGGGGACAAGAAATCGGGGTCCCTGAAAAAGCAGCATTTATATTGAAGATAAGTCACATGCATTGAGGATGGAAGGGTGGGCCATACCTCAGAGCCCAAGGTGAGCCAGACTGGCAGGACCAGGTTGGGGCCTTGGAACCCCAGGAGGAGCTTTGGCCTTTATCGTAATTACATTGGGAACTGCCAAAGAATTGAAGCAGTGGTCTTACAAGATCAAATCTGTGTGTTGAAAGGTCACGTTGGTGAGAACCCATGGAGAACAGCTTGGGTCTCTTCTAGGGCTCCAAGTGACTGTGCTGGGGTGGGAGCTGTGGCCTGGTCTCTGGCCAAGCCACCAGACCCACTCTCTTCTCTCTCCAGCAGCAGAGCTGGGGACCCATGACCAGCTAGCCATGGAACCATTTGGCTCCAGCCACCAGCCCCTTAGGTGAGGACTCCACCTGGGGCCTATTGCCCATTCCAAACCATGGAGGTGAAGAGAGCACTTGCAGCCAAGGGAACAGTTCTTTGAAAACCGTGGTGCAGCTCTGCCAGCTCTTCCCGTGGACCATCTTCCAGAGAGGTGCTTCTTCCTGTTGGCCCAGGAACTGGGGTGCTACACCTCCACGGATGGGGAGGTGGGCCCTCGACCTGGCCTTTGTGTGGAAGGCGCTGTTGACGCTGGGCCTGGTTCTTCTCTACTACTGCTTCTCCATTGGCATCACTTTCTACAACAAATGGCTGACGAAGGTAACCGGGGGCCTCGCCAGTGCAAGGCCTAGCCCCAAAGTGGCCAGAGTGGGCACAGCTGTATTTATTGGCCCATGGTGGCTCCTGCCTGGACATTGGCCCTTGGCAAGGCTAAGCAGGTAGCTAGCAGGTGTGGTGGAGATGGGCCTGGGACAGGACTGAGCCCCTGGGCTGATCTCTGATCTCCACACTGGGTACTAACCTTTTGTTCCAAGGGGTTGCAATGTAGCTAAGACCCATGCAAAGTTCTAGATTGGCCCTGTGGGGTTGCAGTGTAACTGAGACCCATGCAGAGTGCTAGATCAGCCCCTGCCACCGGGAGGGGAGGAGACAGACTGGGACAGCTTTCCAGCCAGTCCTCTTGTCTCCTCTGCACCCCACAGAGCTTCCACTTCCCCCTCTTCATGACCATGCTGCACCTGGCCGTGATCTTCCTCTTCTCTGCCCTGTCCAGGGCACTGGTTCAGTGCTCTAGCCACAGGGCCCGTGTGGTGCTGAGCTGGACCGACTACCTCAGGAGAGTGGCTCCTACAGGTATGAAGGGGCATGAGGAGGGCTGCTGGAGAATCTAGGCCAAGAACCAGAGGAACCCTTGGCGCCTCGAGGCCTCCCTTTTCCTCCTCCCTCTACTCTCTTGACCCTAGACTATGCTGCATCTCAGCCCTCCCTATCTAACCATGGCCTGAGCTCCCTGAATCCAGAGCATAGAGCAGGTCGCTTCCCTGCCCTTGCTGCCTGATGTTGGCTCCACCAGACACTGAGAAGGTGAGCCTTACCAGGGTGGCCATGTTGGTCTGTGTCAAAGGTTTCCTAGTACTAGTGTTGAGTAGGCAAGACCTGAAGGGTAGTGACCCTGTGAGTGGGCACCCAGTGTCATGTGAAGCCAGAGCAGGGGTGAAACTCACCCAGTGCTAGAACTCTGTTGGTGAGAGAGAGTGAGAGAAAAGAGAGTTGGCAGGGCTGTTCCTGCGGGGCAGGTATGCCCCTGAGCAGTTTGACAGGGGGTGGCAACACCCCCACACACACACACACTCACACCCCACTTTTGGCCAGGTGTTAACTCTTGAGTTGCTGGATGGAAAGGAAGACTGCACTGTCTGGGTATCACCCTTCTCTCCACAGCACTGGCAACAGCACTTGATGTGGGCTTATCCAACTGGAGCTTCCTCTACATCACCGTCTCACTGTGAGTACCAGCCACACCCTCCACCTCCCTTTAGGCCAAGCTTGCTTGACTTGGCTGTCTGGCGGTCTGCTCAGCTGGATATGGGCCAGCTACTCTGCTGCTCTCTGGGACCAGCCCTTGCTTTCTCAGCTCCTCCCTGATACCTATCAGCTCTCCAGGAAGCCTCCAGCTCTTCTGTAAGCTCGGCACAGATTGCTCTGCCTGCCTGCCAGGCAGCAGGGGGGTGTGGGGAAGCCAGGAGACCCAACAGGGCAGTCACAGTGGCTCAGTGGGTAGAGAGTAGGAAACAGAGGAGGGGCAGTTTGCAGAGCACTGCTTGTTAGAGCCTAGCTGGGCAGGGGCTGTACAGTGGTCACTGATGTCTTGCTTCAGAGAGCATAGCCCCTCCCTTTTCTTCGTCCCAGTTTTTCTTGCCCCTCCTTACCTGATCTCCACCAGTGGCCAGGTACAGAACAGAACTTGGTTAAGCTCAGTGTCAGACCCCGCCCCCCCAGCCCCCAACAGTAAGGCATCTTAGAGACTTCTTCCCATGAAAGGTCAGTCCCTCATCAACACAGGCCAGCCCCTTTTGGTCTTTGGGGTCTGGTTGCCCTGCTGCCTTGAGCAGCACTAGCTTCCCTCTAGGAATCCAGGATGCATTGTGGGTATCTCTGCTTCCAGGTACACAATGACCAAATCCTCTGCTGTGCTCTTCATCCTGATTTTCTCTCTGATCTTCAAGCTGGAGGAGTTGGTAAGACCCTACCTCCCTTGCCCCACCTGTCACTGCAGATGCCCAGGGTAAAAGGGAGCCTGAAAGGTGGCCTGTCAGTGTGTGACAGGAGACCATCCTGTCCCAGGTGGCCAGAATGCCCTTCTCTGAGAGAGAACCTAGCCAAGGTAATAGCAGAATGTTTACAAACAAGTACAACTGGGCCTGACAGAATGAAAACACATGAGAGTCTGCAGGATTGGGGCTTAGCTCCAGGATCCACTGTTCAGTGATCTTTGTCCGTTGGGGAACACTTGGGACTTGGGATGAACATCAGCACTATCATATTTCAGAATAGATAGGGTGTTGGGAACATGCCAGCCAAATGTCAACCCCTTGTCCAGGTTTGCCCAGGACCCCTGGACAGGGTTAGACAGAGAAGAATTTCTTGGCCCAGTGGCATTCTGGATGGCTACTAGCTCCAAATGTGATAAGCCTGAGTCTCAAGCCCCAAAGTAAGCCGAACTGTCCCATCCTAGCGTGCTGCCCTGGTCCTGGTGGTCCTCCTCATCGCTGGGGGCCTCTTCATGTTCACGTACAAGTCTACACAGTTCAACATGGAGGGCTTCTTCTTGGTGCTGGGGGCCTCGTTCATTGGTGGCATCCGCTGGACCCTCACCCAGATGTTGCTGCAGAAGGCTGAGCTGGGTGAGCCCATAAGAGAGCCACAGGCTGGGGGCTGGGCAAGTATAGACCAATACCAGGCTGAGCCTGATGGGTCCCCATGTCCATCCTACAGGCCTCCAGAACCCCATTGACACCATGTTCCACCTGCAACCACTCATGTTTCTGGGTCTCTTCCCTCTCTTTGCTGTATTTGAAGGTACGTTGGATCATCTACCTCTTAGTACCTTGGTATGACATCCCATGTTCCTGCTCTGAGCCCAGCACAGTGCTAGAGCTACAGAGTCACGAGAACATATTCTCTCTCTGGTGGTTGTGGTTTGGGACTGGATGGACACATAGAATCCCATGTGTCAAAGGCTGTAGAGAAAAAGTGTGAAATGTGGGGTGTCCGAGCAGAGTGTACACAGCCCCAGAGGTGCCTGGGCTATTACTGTCATTTTAAACTCACTGGCTCATGCAGTCTTCCCTCTGACCAAATGGGGAGGACTGTTACCAGAACCATTGGGCAGGAAAAAGAAACTGAGGCCAAGAGAGGGGATGAAAGCTTGCCCAAGGTCCCATAGCTCATAAATAAACAAGCCAGACTTTGCACCCAGCAGTCTGGCTCCCTGAGGCTCAGCCCCTTGTCACACAGTGCACATGCCTCAAGGGAACAGAAACGGGATCTGTCTCAGGTGTAGTGGGTGGGTTGTAAAGGGGCTTGGAGGACCATGCGACTTGGAAGATAAATGATGTGTGGGTGGGCTAGTGCACCAGGGCAGCCTAGGAAGCAGGGCAGAAGGCTGTGTGTGTTCAGGGAACATGGACTGTATGAGCTGAGAGGGGCTTCCATGGCAGGAGTGGGGGCCACCCTGTAGCAGCCTGGGTAGATAGGCCACCCTTCCTGCCCCTGTGGCTTCCAAAGAGGCCAGGCCGAGGGCTGTACAGGTGGAGTGATGCTGCCTTCTTTCTTGGATTAGGCTTTGTCCCCTGTTGTTTATCCTTCCTCCCAGATTCCCAGCTGTCCTCAGGGTCGTTACAGAAAATCCATCCCACATCCATTTAAGTTTCAAGCAGTGAAGCATCTCCAGCCTCCCTGAGAAAATTATTCCACAGCCCCGTTGTCCAGGAAACTTCTGTACAGAGCCTCCTGTTTTTCTTCTTTTAAATCCCTCCCCATTCTTTCATTATGCCCCTCATACCAAACACCACACTCGCCCCCTCCCTAGGTGTCCTCACTGTTTCCAGCTCTGCAGACCTCATCCAACAGCCCCTGGTTGCTGCCACTTAGTAAAGCTGCCTGGATTTAGCTCCTTTAATCTTTTCTGGTAAATTAATCCCCCAAGCGCCTTCATGACTTATGTTGCTCTTCCCCGAATTCCCTTCAATTTGCCAACGCCTCTGCAATACTGCTGAGCCCAGCGCCAACCAAGATGGCCCACATGGCAAGACTGTTGACCTAGGGCAGACTATTGGTGTGTTTCTGTGGCACCCCCTTTCCAGACCCCCTCCACCTCACACGTGTGTCTCCATTGTGCCCAGTGGGTGCTGACTTCACCCCCTGATGACAGACCATGGGGACCTTGCTGTAGGAAGAGCCCAGAGAGTCCTATCAGAAAGAGGCTGCAGCTCCACAAAGTTAAAGCAAAAATCGGTGTGCTGTGCAGTGTGCTCTGGAGCAAGAGGCTCTGGCCTTAATCATTGTATTTCCATGTGTGCAGTTTTCTTTGTTTTTGTGTTTTGTTTGGTACACGGTCACATGTAGCCCAGGATGGCCTTGAGCTCTCTGTTGTAGCTGATGCTGGCCTGATCCTTCTCCCTCCACCTCCTAAGTGCTATGATTACAGGCAACACACCTAACTGTTCTCTTTCGGAGTTAACTTTCATCAGATTATACTGCTTGTTGGAGAAATGACAGTCTGGTCTCAGTCCTGTCATTCCATCAGTAGGAAACCCACAGGCAGAAAGGAGACATCTCTCTGCTCAAATCCTGTAACTTTGTAGTAGCAAGACCCAGATTTGGGCTGGGCTACAGCTCAGAGCACTTGCTGGCCTGAGTAAGGCCCTGGGTTTCATCCCAGCACCACGAAACGTATATATGTGCATATGCATGCACATACCTGTACACACACAGTCTAAAGGTGCAGGACCCTGCGGCCGTTTTTCTACATAGTGCCAGCCCCTCTAGTTCAGCCCACAGCTCCAATTGTGCTCTGTTTGAATCACCAGCTTTTCTTGCCCAGGCTCTGGCAGTCACCATGGTCTGCCACGTCTCAGCCCATCTGTGTGAAGCCATTTTAAAACCCCCATTCTTTCTCCCACCTCAGACAATCAGCAGGTGCTCACCAGCCCCCCTGCCACGATGACCAGGCTCAGGCTATCGGGCAGGGCTAGCCAGTTGGCCCAGACCTCCCAGTCTCTCCTGTTGCTTTCAGGTCTCCATTTGTCCACCTCTGAGAAAATCTTCCGTTTCCAGGACACCGGGCCGCTCCTGCGGGTGCTTGGGAGTCTCTTCCTTGGTGGGATTCTCGCCTTTGGTTTGGGCTTTTCTGAGTTCCTCCTGGTCTCCAGAACGTCTAGCCTCACCCTCTCCATTGCGGGCATTTTTAAGGTACACACGGAGAGGACACCAGGTCTGTCCTAGAGGTAGTCCATGGGAGCTGCTAGTAACTTCTCTTCCTGTACCCTGAGAGCGTTAGAGAGGAGAGCAGTGTGGGGCCCTGGTGTGACAATCTCCCTGCAGAGCCAGGCCTTACGGCACCAAGCCTGGAGTACACATACACTGTGCCTTAACACCAGCTCTGGTAGCAGCCTGGAGCCCCTCATCTAGGCTCATCGGTGAAAATCCCAACACAGAGCTGGGTCTAACCTGCGCAGGGCTTTCTCTGACCAAGTAGACTCCATGCTGTAGCAGCTCTCTCAGTGCAGGTGTGTAGATCTCCTGGGGCAGCGAGTGAACTCAAAGCCGTGGTCCTCAGGAGGCCTGTCTGACCAGTCCCTCTGCTGTCTCTTCATAAAGAGCCATGCTGAGGGCTGCACTCCTGGCTATATAAGGGCTCAGCTGTTTGACCTGCTTCGATTGGTATTCTGTGGGCAGCACCTATGTGGTTACATCTCCGTAACACCAGGAGGCTGGCAGGGAGTGCCCTGGGTGGGCAGGTCCACCGTCTGCACTGGCCCAGACCTCAGTGTACCCAGGGTCCCATTCTGCTTGCCACAGCCAGCTTCTGACCCGTTTCTTACCCTCTGCCCACAGGAGGTTTGCACCCTGCTCTTGGCAGCTCACCTGCTGGGTGATCAGATCAGCCTTCTGAACTGGCTGGGCTTTGTCCTCTGTCTCTTGGGCATCTCTCTGCACGTTGTCCTCAAAGCCCTTCATTCTAGAGGTACTGGAGCCCTTCTCCCTGAGGCCTATAGCCCTGCTGACTTCCCCCGTCCGGCCTTACCGGGAGAGCCCATGTCTTGGTTTTCCCAGACTGATAACAGCCCCACTGTCCCGCCACCTTTTCCCCCCTCATTGTTCTAGCTCAGAACATGTGCCAGGTGGTGCTGCCACCACTGGGAGGGCAGACGGGAGGGGACCCTGGGAGACTTGCAGCATGCAAGAGCACTATCAGGTCAGTAACTGTGGTTTGTCTACCCCAAGGTGGTGGTGACCCTAAGACCCAGAAAGACCTGGGCTCAAACACGGACCTGGAGCTGCTGCTCCGGAGCAACCAGCAGGAGGATGAGGACAATGAAGAAGAGGACGGTTTCGTGGCCCTAGGGCAACAGTGACCAGAAGCATCAAAAGCAGCCAGTGCTGCAGGGACTGGGGACCCAGGTGGTTCCTCACATCAGCTGTAAATGGTAGCTGGGGGTGGGGGGCTGTGTGGGGCTGGTCACAGGGGTAGGACCCTGGGAAGAGGCACTAGTCAGGGGCCTTTGGCTTCTGCCCTTCCCCCTAGAGTGAGCACCAGGCTCAGCTGGAACCTGACTAGAGCTGGCCCTCTGTTGAAGTCTAGCAGCAGAGGGAATGGATGGCATCTTCTCCACTCTTGGTCTGGCTCTGGGAGCCACGAGGAACTTCAGAGGTGTGGTAGCCTTCCTAGATGACTGACTTTGGTCCACAGGGCATTTGGGAAAGGGTGATGGACAGGCTGGACCTCATCTGGACAGTAGCTTCCTCAGAAAGCAAATTGATTTATAATTGGGAAATCAGTGGTTTCCTGCTCCGTTGGCCCTAATGTTTGTTGCCTACAGTGTGAGAGCTAAGAGAACTGGGGGGACCTGGCCTCTGCCCCTTTCCCGCCTGAGGCGTGGTTAGGTCTGGTGGGCCCTCCGTCTGGCCTCCTGCCTCACTCCTACCCCGTTGGAGTCCCAAAGTCCTCTCCTTGGGCCCTCCCACACCTACAGCAGAAAATAAATGAAATTTTCTCAGTACTGTATTGTGGAGACTTTATACATTTTCATGGCCTACATTTGAATCCTGAAACTGTCACATACTGTGTGACCTTAAGCGGATGACTGAACTTCTCTGTGCTATAGTTTTTTATCTGTGAAAAGAGGATAATGTCTTTCTGAAGAATGGTATAGATTAAATGTTAAAATCATTTACCAACCAAGAGACCAGAGCCTAGAAAAGAAAGCACTGGGTGGCCAGGCAAGGATTCCAGACCAGGCCTGTATGTTGCATGTGTGAGGTGGGTCTCAGTTTTGGACCCTGGGCTGTCCGCTCACTGAGACAAGTCAGGCTCCTTCAGTAGGCAGTCTTGGCTGAACTGCAAGGGCTGCGGTGTGCTGCAGTGCTGAGCCCCTAATAGTTTGGTGCCTGACAGTGACATCATCCTCAGCTGTTCTGATCCCTTCCCAGCCTAGGCTGTCTCCCATCCCGAGCTGTGTTGTCCCTCTCTCCTGTCCCGTGTCTCCTCCCCACAAGCTGCAGTTGTCCTGCAGAGGTGCTTCAGACGTTCACGGCAGGTGGCGCCATTGCTCTGGCAGTGTGGCTCCAGCACTGCCCGCTGCCACCTGTGCCCAAACTCAGGCAGCAGGGGGTGTCTGACAGGCACAGTAGTGGCTGTGGGCGAGGGCCCGGAAGGGGCTTTGGATAGAATTGGAGCCACTAGAGCTCACTTGGTTATACCCAGAACACAAGCCGGTCTGCAGACTTCTGGAAGGGACAGATAGTAAATATTTCTATTGGGAACCATATGGCGTCTGTTGCAACTTGTAGTAGGGAAGATGCCTTGCGTGGCATGGACACAAAAGGGTGTGGCTGCATCCCAGGGAAGTGATTTCCAAAAGCACATTCGGCTTGCTCATCCTTCTGTAGAGGAATCCCTTCAAGTGAAGAGACCAGGTCCATTTCACAGGGAGACTGAGGCCCTGGAGGAGCAGCGACTACCTGAGGCCCTCAGAGCTCTGTGCACAGAAGGAATGGGAACTAGGATCAGCCTCCAGTTCCCATTCCCTGTCCACCTCTGCCCTCCAAAACAACGCCTTACCTGGCTCCTGCATCACTGTCCCCTTTGGATTGTTCAAACATCAGGAGTACAGAAAGCTCTTGTTCTAGCCCATGACATGCGGAGAGCCAGCCAAGGAGGAGCCTGGAGGCTGCTTGTGTTCAGGAGTGCCACATAGCCCTCTGGCTCAGGTAGATTAGAGCTGCCTGTCTGCTCTGCGCCATCCCCCCTCCAGGACAGGAGCTGGCGCTGCTGTCTGCTGCAGTAATTACAGGGTGCGGAGTGGGCCCTCACCGCACACATGTTGGGTTCAATGACAGCCTCTCACTTAGCAGCAATTACCAGCAGGGCCTAGAGGAGACTCCCTCCCCTCCTCTCCCACCCGGCCCACCCAGTTGCCTGGCCTCCAGGGCCAGACTGTCCACCCTCAGCCCTGAGCCCTCCAACCACCCATTCTGTCTGCGGCCACTGCTATCTCAGGGGCCACAGCATCACCATGGCAACTCAGCGTTTGCCCAGGTTGAGAGAAAGCTGAGGATGTGGCTGGTCTCTCCAAGGCTGTGCTGTCTGTCCCCAGCTCTAGGGCTGCTGCAGCAGCAGGGAGGCGAAGGCTGACCTACAGGTCTGAGTTTTAAGTGCTTACGTGCCCACCACCTCTCCCAGGAGCCCATGGGAGGAGGAAGGTTAATGCCCCCAATATACTAGGACACCTGCGGTTGGCATTGTGCAGACAAGAGCTAGCTGGAAGTTTGCTGAGCGCCCTGAGCCATCAGGCAGGCCCTGGCATATCTGCATCTTCATTCATCTTCATTCTACCCCCACCTCAGGTGCTCGGGATCATCTCCCATCTGTTTCTGCTTCCTGCACTGTGAAAACCCTGGTGGCCCAAGAGTCATTACCGGACATCAGGAGAATTGGCTCCTTGGTACTTTCGGGAACCTCTGCATCAACTAAAGCATTCCAGAGAACTGGGGGTCGGGGTGAAAGGCTCCTGGATCATCCTTTGAGGGTGACAGCACCCAGGGAGTGCTGGACATGTGGCAGATTATTGGAGTTGAGGGCAGTCATTTGACCTTCCAGCCCAGGGAAGAAGGGCAGGACATGGGGGACCACTCTTTGGCCCTCCCTGTGGGTTATGCAATCCAGAGCAGCAGGAATTCATGTACTTATCACATGGCTGTGGAAACCAAGTTCACAGAGGCTGAGGATCAGGATTCAGATCCGCTCGTCTCTGCCCTGGGATGTGCTGAGTGACCTTGAGCCCATCCACTCTGAACCTGAACAATTGTATTGTCTAAGTGACTGTGAAGATGGAAGGATGTGTAGAAATATACTTGCAGTGTTGGGTGCACAGTAGTCAGTGCTCAGTGTCAGGGTTGAGAATGTCACAGCCTACCCAGGTGGGGAGAGAGGGGAGCAGGCAGCATCAGAGCCCAGCCTTTGGCAGTTGCCATACTTGCTATGAGGAGCCATTTAATAAATACTTGTTTCGGGAAGGAATTGTCAGTAGTACAAAGTTGAGCAGGTGAGATGGTTCAGCAGTTGAAAGTGCTGCTGCGAAGCCTAAAGACCTGAGTTTGATCCCCAGGACCCACATGGTAGAAGGAGAGAACCAATTCCTGCAGGTTGTCTTCTGATCTCCATGTGTCATGGCATGAACATACACATGTGCACACACACAAACAGCAAACAAATGTCAAAAAATATGTGGAGGGGATGGTGCTGGTTATAATTTAGGTTTTTTGAGACAGGGTCTCCCTGTAGCCCCAGATGGCCAGGAGTTCGCTGTGTAGATCAGGCTGGGTTTAAAACTCAGAGGTCTGCCTGCCTCTGCCTCCCAAGTGCTGGGATTAAAGGTGTGTACCAGCATGTCCAACTGGTTATAACAGTTTCAGTAAAACAAAATGGTTCCCATCCCCACTACCAGCCATACATGCCAGTCTCCAGTCTCTGCCCATCCCCTAGCCACATAGCCCTGACACAGCTAGGCCCTTCCCCCAGCTTCAGAGCATCCAATGAGCTTGACTTCTGTTCCCATGGTTATTTACAGTTTCGTTGGCAACTAGTACATTTCCTGAAGCAGGCCGGCAACCCCCAGGCTCCAGCATCTGTTGGCAGGGCTGTCCCTTTCCCTGATGTCTGATGAGAACGCGCCTGCTGGGGACAAAGAGGGACAGAATAGAGGACCCAAAGGAAATGCATTAGAATGCATTCAGGAAATGTTTTGGAACGTCTGCCTGGTGCCTGCCTAGTGCTAGCTGCTTAATGGAAGTCATTAAAACACCATCCCTGTCCTCAAGGAACTTCTGCAGGGCTTTGAACCCAGCAGCTTCCCTGGGAAGTCCATTGAGAAATGGAAGTTAGAGTGTGGATGTTTATTAGAAAGTGGTCCTGGGGAAGGAGGAAGGATGGGACTTGGCAGAGTCTCATGCAACAGCAAAGCAGTCCCAAGGCCCCTCAGAGCTACCCTGAGAGGGAGTGAAAGGCTTGAGCTTTTACTCATTGCTCACAGTCACTGGCAGTGGGCCTGCCCCTGGAATGAGGCATGACTCCCAGTGAGGCCATTCTCTTCAAATCAAGACAGTCTGACAACGGTTGACAGCTGAGGGTACTGCATCACAGTGTCACCATCCTCAAGGCCACAGCCAGGCTCTGAGGATCATCAGAGATCTCTACAGAGGAAAACAATGCCTGGCATGTATGTGCACGTGTGTATTTTTCTGGGGAAGAGTGCCCTTAACTCCTAAAAAATTTAGAACCACCGATCTAGGGAAAGCCAGAGTTGTCCAAGATTTCAGTGGACTCAGAGATACACACTGTAGTTGTTCAGTAAATATGAAAGGATTAGCGAGTGAGTGGATGGGTGGATGAGTAGGTGGATGAATGGATGGATGGACATGGATGGATGAATGAGTGCATGAATGGGTGGAGAGATGGATAGATGACTAGACAGATGGATCACTGAACAAGTGTATGGAAGGATGAGTAGCTGCATGGATGGATGGATAGATGAGGTAGTGAATAAATGGACTGATGGATGAAAAGTGGATAATTGGGTGGATGGATGAGTAAATTGGTGGGTGAGTGGATGGATAGATGGAGAGATGGGTGCTAGATGAGAGATGGGTGCTGGATGGAGAGATGAGTAGATGGGTAGGTAGATGATGGACGATAGGTAAATGGATGGATAAACAATAGTGAAATGTCTGGGAGACAGAATAGGGCATAACCAATTCTGTCTGGATCCATTTGGGTGAGGAGGAGAGCTATTTCCAGGAAGAGCTGCCCTTTTGAACTGAGTCTTCAGGACAACATAAGAGCTTGCTAGGGACACTAAAGAAAAGCATAACACAAAAAGTTAAGCAGACACAAAGACACAGAGGTTGGGTGAGCACCGGGACGGTGTTTGGACAATTTTACCATGACTGGCTGGAGGCACACAGAAAAAAAAGAAGGGGAAGGGTAACTGACCAGCCTCTGAAAAGCCCAGGGTTCCCAGGAGGCATCCTGACAGAGACTTCCACCTGGTTCTCAAGGAGCAGGTTATGTCCCCTCCCCCACATCATTCCACCAATGCACACTAGGTCCTGAAGAGCATCCCATAAGAGCCATGAACATTGCCATTTGCCCGTCTTTCTCATCCCTGATGTCTTTTAGTCCTACGCTGCAGAAATGGCTGTTATTTACAGCCCCACTTTCCAGATGAAAATTGGGTAGAAAGAAGCAGAGCCACCTGCCCAAGCCACTAAACATGGAGCCCTTCCTCCAAGAGCCCAACCCTTTTCTTCTCCCCAACTCTGGGAGGGGTGGCAGCAGTTTTGATACCTTCCTGTCAATTAGGTCCCTCGGCCTAGGGACAGAAGTAATGGCCCTCTGTGGGGGGCCCAGGTCTAGCAGGGCATTCTCTTGCTATCTTTTGGCCCCGGGAGGAATCCCCCGCTGAGCCCTGCCTCCATCCTGTTCAGGGCTGCCCCATGAATT